GAATTTCGAAGTAGATTTGAGTCGGGCCTGTCATCAACACAAATCAAAACAAATCGTCAAACAATAGCCTGGGGATTATTTGTTTTAATTTGAGTTGATCATTTGTGCATATTTTTGGGGTATGTTTTATTTCTCTTCCGAAGCCCGCCTGCAGGGGGGCATGCCCGACCTAACAGTAGATCGAAACAGCTCGGTGGACCTCGCATTATGAGTGGCGGTTGTTCGAGGGTACGGTAGGTTCGCGTCGTGTCGACTGGCGGCGACCCCGCCGCTGGCCTTCGGTGTTCAACGTCATTGGCGACCCAGAAACGGTCGATATTGAACGATCTGAGGTTTCGGAAACGGCCGATCGTTCAAGTTTTAAGGATCCACACGGTGTCAGAAACCAATGCGGGGGTCGGCACGACACGTATTTGTCGTAGGACGAGGTTGATGTTGTTGATGATGGTGTTGATGTTGATGTTGATTATGGTGATGTTGTTGATGATGATGCTAGTGCTGATGCTGATGATGATGCTGCCGATCCTGATGATGATTGATTGATTGATTGATTGGTTGATGATGATGATGCTGATGATGATGGTGATGATGATGACGATGATGTTGTCGATGGTGATGGTGGTGGTGTTGATGAAGCCGAGGATGCTGATGAGTGTAATCTTCATGTTGATGATGGTGATGGCATTGATAATAATACTGGTGACGATCATGGTGATTTTGATGAGGAGGAGGTGGTTTAAGCTTGGGCCCCTTGTGTTTCGCAACTATCTTTAAGTCGGGCCTGTCCCTCTACAGGAGGAATATTTGAAAATAGTAAAAGATAGTCGGGGGGACTATTGTTTAATTTGCGTTGGCTATGTTGTAATGTTTCTTTGGGAATGTTTTAATGTTTCGTCCAACCTAAGTCTAACGAGAGATCGTGGCCCCCGGAGCGCAGGCCCCTTGTTTTTTATCGAAGCTACCTTGTGGTGCCCGGTCCTCGTCCTGCCAGCACACCTTCACACCGTTCTCCTCCTCGCCCCTTCTCCTCCTCCTCCTCGCCTCTACTCCCCGCCCCTCCTCCTCCTCGCCCCTTCTCCTCCTCGCCCCTCCTCCCCCTCCTCACCCATGCCAGCACACCTCTCACACGCTTCGTGGCCCTATAGGGGGGCTCCACAGAAGACCCCCGTGGCTGTGACCACAGGCGCCCGCGCCACCCAGTGCAGCGCTTCATGGACCCGTTGGGAGCTCCACCGAAGGCCCCCGTGGCTGTGACCACAGGCTTCCGCGCCACCCAGTGCAGCGCTTCGTGGGCTCATAGTGAGCTCCTCCTCCTCCTCCTTCTCCTCCTCCTCGTCCTCCTCCTCCTCCTCCCTCCTCCCTCGAATCTCCAGCCTTGCGCAGCGCTTCGTGGGCTCATAGGGAGCTCCACCGGAGGCCCCCATGGCTGTGACCACGGGCGCCCGCGGCACACGGTACAGTCTCGGGGGTGGACAGACCTCCTCCTCCTCCTCCTCCTCCTCCTCCTCCTCACCTCCTCCCCCTCCGCCCCCTCCTCCTCCTCCTCCTCCTCCTCCTCCTCCTCCTCCTCCTCCTCCTCGTCCTCCTCCTCCTCCTCGTCCACCTCCTCCTCTTCCTCCTCCCCTGACACGTCGATTAAGGAATTGGCCGTTTTCGGTTCGCGAGAGGGCGTCGCGGCCGTCATTTTTGCGGGTCCGGGTCCGTCGGTTTCGGTCCCAGGCCGTTATCACTAAGGGGGGTTTACTAAAGGGAGGTTTGTCCACCGCCGAACAGTGTTCCGTGGCCATAGGGAGCTCCACCGAAGGCCCAGTGGCTGTGATCACGTGCGCCTCCCCGGACTCATTTCGGCACGCCCTTCGCGCGTTTCGTGGCCTGCCCCTGGAAAGCTCCAGCGAAGGCCTGGCGGCGGTTTCCACACCCCCCCCCCCGCTCATGTCGGCATACCCTTCACACGTCTCGTGGCCCCATCAGGAGCTTCCCCTCCTTCGTCCTATCTGCCTTGCGGTACCGACAATTGCATCTGCCTTGCTCCTTCACCAGGATGATTCAGGAGGGGTCGTGCCCTCTGGAGGGTTAGCCGAGTAGGGGAGTCGTACCCTTGAGACGCCTCCACGTGCACAGGACACGGTGGCGGATGCTTGTCATAGATTGCACGAGCTTGCTCTTGTTTGCCACTTTTGGAGTTGGTTTCATTGTTTGCGATAGTGCTTTCTTGGGCGGCCAGCATGCCCTCCTTTCTCCTCTCTCGGCGAGTGCTCCTTGTACGTTTGCTTCCTGTCGTTTGCAGGCTCGGACGATCTCCAGGGCTGCAGCCATCCTGTCCTGCTTTTCTCGTCCATGGGATCGGGCACTGGAGCGAGCTGTCCAAACAACGGACAAGAAAAGGATGCCTGAACCACTGTGCTCCGGAAGCCACAGAGCCTTTTCGATGACTCAGGTTCGGATGTACATCTGCAATGGGTCCGCGCGAGCGCCAGCAGCACCTCGTGAAAGCGAACGGCTGGCTATCTGGCTTCACCGGTGCGTCTTGGGTACGCTGGTGGCTTTTGCACGCCGCGCTCCGGAGTCCTGATCAGGATAACCTCTTCTCGGACATCGCGAGAAGCCTGATCAGCCCCAGCTCCAGGCCGGCCCCGCTGTTCCCTGTGCCCTCTCCAGTGCCAACGGAGGGCCGGAGGAGGGGAGATTCGGCAGAGGCCGGTCGGACTTGACAGGAGGACGTAGTCCGCGTCCAATTTCGGACCCTGTTTCCTCACGGGTCCAATCGACGGTGGGGTGTAGGACCACTCCCAGGCTTTCGCTTGATTGCAGACATTTGGGCGTTGCGTACTGGAAGGGTCTTAAATGGGGGGGGTGCGAGGGTGGTCCGAAAAGGTACCCAACCCTGGGGCTCCGGAGGGGACCGAAAGGGACACGAAAGGGGACCGTTTCTGACCCCCCCATTTATGACCCCCCCATTGAGTCCCCCCCGAGACAGCCTTCGAATCTGAGCCCAGCCGGCGTTGCAGAAATCTGACCTGTTGGGGTGGGGTCCACATGGGGTTGCTCACGTTTAGGCAGGGAGGGAGGAAGAGCGACAGGGACCCAGACCCCCGACGTCATGATTTTTGTCATTACGTCGACCCCCAGGGGTCTCGACCCCTTCCCCGGGACCGGTTTGTCATCCTGAGTCGTTTTTTGACGGTCCCGCGGCCCAGGAAGGGTCCCCCGAGGCAAAACACATGTAGAAAAACCCACCGTCGTGATTTGTCTTTTATTCGAGGGGGTTTGGGGACGCAGGAAGGGAGCAGTTTCATGAGAAGAGAAAAAACACACAGACACAATTGATTGTCGATCCCCAGGAAAATATGGAAAAATATGGGAAGTTGGGGGGGAAGACAAAAACCTAGAAAATATAGAAAAAGATGGGGAACCGTTCTCTATGTGTGTGTATTTATTTGTGTGTCTCAGGGCCCCTTCATTTCAGTCCGCTTGGGCGCGGACGACCTCAGATGTCACACGAGATGCAGCTCGGCCCCCTCCGCTGTGTGTCACCAGGCCAGCCGCGAAGCGCCGCCACTCATCCGCGCGGGGATCCGACGGGAGGGCGGCACTCTGTGCCCAAGGCGTGAGGTAAGAACGGTGTTGGTGAATTCGTAGACCGTTTTCGTTTTGTTTTCGTTTCTATGTTATATATATAAGAATATGTATACGGGAAGGCGGCATTTTGTGCCCAAGGCGTGAGGTAAAAACGGTGTTGGTGGATTCGTAGACCGTTTTCGGTTTGTTTTCGTTTATATGTTATATATACAAATTTAAGAAACTTTATAACGGGAAGGCGGCATTGTGTGCCCAAGGCGTGAGGTAAAAACGGTGTTGGTGGATTCGTAGACCGTTTTCGTGTTGTTTTCGATTGTAGGTTATGTATATATATATATATATATATGTATATATGTATGTATGTATGTATGTATGTATGTATATATATATATATACAATCATGTTTTTTATTGTTCCTTTGTTGTTTAGAAAAAGAGAGATTCAGCTCGCGCCCTGGCTGGGCCCGCGTGGCCAGCGCCGTGGCCACTCAGTTCCCAGTTGCGAAGCCACAGGGGGCCAGGGCCAGAGTCAGTCCCGCTGTGGTCGCGCCTCGCGCGCGGCTCGGCCGACGGGGGAGGTCGGCGGCGGAATCCGAACCCTGCCCTCGCAGATCCATCGTCCAGGTCATCCGAGGGGCGGCAGGGGTAGGAGGAGGAGGAGGAGGAGGAGGAGGAGGAGGAGGAGGAGGAGGAGGAGGAGGAGGCGGATGGAGGAGGAGGGGAGGAGGGAGGGGGAGGAGGAGGAGAGGAGGGAGGAGGAGGAGGAGGAGGAGAGGAGGAGGAGGAGGAGGAACCCTCGGCAGCCGGCGGCCCCGCACGGGGCAGGCCGGCCCCCGGCTCGGGCAGGGGCGGGCCCCGGCTTCCTCCGAGAGGGGCGCCAGGATGGGCGCGGCTCGGTCGGAGCCGCCGCCGCCAGAGCGGGTGCAGACTCTTCGTCCTCCTCCTCCTCCTCCTCCTCCTCCTGCTCCTGCTCCTCCTCCTCCTCCTGCTCCTCCCCGTGCCACTTCTATTCTAAACTCCTCGGGGGGCGTATCGCCTGGGGGCGCAGGGGGCGCCACGAAGGTTGTTGGACATCCACTTCCGATGAGCACCCCAGGCGAGCCTCCCGTGGAGTGAACAGAGGGGCGACAGTGGCATGGGGGCCTGCGTGCAGGCCCCCACTGCACCGCCGCTGGGTTTTCTTCTGACCCTCCGCAAGGTGCGAGCTGGGATGCCCGTGCCTGTCGATGCACAGGCGGCGGCATCAATATTCAAGCTCATCATTGGCCTGCTTAGGTGGCCCCGAGTCTGTCACGCTGCCGCTGCAGGCGCGGCACCCCGCGCCAACAAGGCGCGATTTCTTAGGAGCCAGTGTTCAGACCTCTGGGCACAACCAGAGGATAATTGGTCGGGCAAGCGGGTGGCGTCAAGTTAGCTCCGGCTAGCCCGCCACTGGTTGCTTTTGGCTCGCTTCAGTGGCCGCTCGACGGCCCCACTGCCACTGCGAGCACGGCAGCCCTCGACTTCGTCGGTCTCATGTAGGCGCCGTGCCGACTTGGGTGCCCACCCCTGTCGATGGGCAGGAGTGCGCACCCGTTGTTCGTGCCGTACTCTGGGATAACCAACCTTGTCGATGGACAAGCATGGGCATCCCCTCCCTCGTACATGAGGATTACTTGGTGTACGCACGCTACGGCCCGCTCCCAGGGCCGTGCAGCGGCCAAACTGCTGTTGTGGGTGCGTCAGCCTTCGCCTTTGACGATGTCAGGAAGGCGCCGTTTTGATCTGGATGCCGCCCCCTGTCGATGGACAGAAGTTCGCATCTAAACTCGGGCCTAGCGCTAGGATGCCCATCCCTGTCGGTGGACAGGGATGGGCACCCTACCCTCGCAATGCGGGCTTGCTTGGCATACGAGAACTGTGACCCGCTCCCATGGCCGTCGGACGGCCTTTCGCAGTTGCGGGCGAGGCAGCCTTAGACATAGAAGGTGGCCAAGTGGCGTCGTACCGGGTTGGGTTCCCATCCCTGTCAATGGGCAGGCATGGGCTCCCGCCCATCGAGCCTCGAGCTAGTTTGCCCATCCCTGTCGATGGACAGGCATGGGCATCCCACTCGCAACGAGGGTGCTGCTAGGCACATGAAAGCCACGGCTCGCGCAATGGCCGCAAGAAGGCCACGTTGCCATAGCGAGCGCGGCAGCCTCCGGTACCAGAGGGTGTCACGTAGACGCCGTTCCGGGCTGGATGCCCACCCTTGTCGATGGACAGGTGTTGGAATCCACGCATCGTGCCTCGAGCTAGGATGCCCATCCCTATCGATGGACAGGTATGGGCATCCCTCCCTCGAAATGGGGGTTTGCTTTGCACACGAAAACTGTGGCCCGCTTAGACGGCCGCGGGACGGCCAGATTGCCGTTGCGGGCGCGGCAGTTTCCGACATCGACTGTGTCAGGTAGGCGACGGTTTTGTTGTGATACCGTCGGGCCCACCAACGGGCGCGGGCCAGCCCAACAGGCGCTGGCCTAAGACCGCTTTGGCGGCACCGTCCCCAGCCTCAACAATCCTTCCCCTTCCTCTCCAATCCCCACCCCATGGACGAGTGAGGATGAGGAAGAGGAGTTTCACATGCCGCGTTCTGACAGAGCGGGGTTTTGGCCTCGGCGCCCAGACCTGACAGAGGGGTGATGGCGGAAGGCTGCGCAAATCCCAGAGGTGCTCGGCTGGGCGTGGGTCGCAAGACGGTGCCTGCGCGCTGTCAGGGCTCTCGACCCCATCCTCAGGAGGTGCTGAGGAGCCTTCCAACCCCTCCCTCCTCCCCATCCCCCCCCATGGACGTGAAGGAGGAGGAAGAGGAGTCTCACATGCCGCGTTCTGACAGAGCGTTGTTTGGGCCTCGGTGCCAAGACCTGACAGAGGGGTGATGTTTGAAGGTTGTGCAAATCCCAGCGGTGTTCGGCAGGGTGTGGGTCGCGAGACGGTGCCTGCGCACTGTCTGTCACGGCTCTCGACCCCATCCCCAGGAGCTCAGGAGCCTTCCAACCCCTCCCTCCTCCCCGGCACCCTCTTAAGAACCACTCAAAATTTGGCTTGGTCACTCGCGGAGTTGCACGGACCCGGCTGCAGCCACGAGTTCAGGCGTTAGCACATCGGCGGGGGCCAAGGGCCCCGGCGGGGGTGTTTATTGCTTGGGCGCAGGCCAATTCGGCATTATGGGACCCGCAAACGTGGCCACTGGACACTTTTGTGTTATTGTGGTTCAGCGGCGAGGGTTCTGACCCCGGCCGCGTGCATAGCGTGCGCTGGTGAGGGTTTGGCCCCTCGAAGGCAGGGTCGCCGTGGGAAGGTCATGGCTCGCGCAATGGCCGCGAACAAGGCCATGCTACCATAGCGACCGCTGCAGCCTTTGGCACTGGCGGTGTCAAATAGGAGCTGGATGCCAACCCCTGTCGATGGACAGGTGTTGGTCTCCACCCCAGGGCCGAAAGCTAGGCTGCCCATCCCTGTCGATGAACAGGCATGGGCATCCCCTTTCTTCACCTACGGCACTGACGGTGCCAAGTAGCCTAAAGCTAAGATGTCCATCCCTGTCGATGGACAGGTATGGGCATCCCCACCTAGCAATGCGGGGGGTGCTTGGCATGTGAAAACTTGAGCCCGATTAGGCGGCCATGGGAAGGCCAGACTGTCGTTGTGGGCGTGGCAGTCACCACCCATGGAGCCCTGAAGAGGGGCCAGCGAGGACCCGAGCGGGTCCCAAGAGAAGCCCAAAAAGGCAATGCGAAGCATGAGTAGGTTAGCCCCTGCTCAGAGGAGGGGGAAAGTATTTGAGGTTCGGTTCATCCTGAGGACCCAGACCGTATCTCATGGGTTTCGAGGGACACCGCCTCCCTCGCGCAGAGTTTGAGCGAGCACTGGGATGTGTTGCTTCGCTTACGGGTTGTCGGGAGGTCGGTCTGGTCTAGTGTTACAAGGGTTGTTTGGGCCCGCTGGCCTCGTCCTTGTCCCAAGGCCCGCCTTGTGGCACAGTGAGTGGCTATGCGAAGCATGAGCAGGTTAGCCCCTGCTCACAGGGAAGAAATGTGTTATCTTCCCTCTTTGCTGGGGAATCTCCTCGGTCTTTCCGACAATCCAATTTGAACCAATAGGGGCCTTCAGGTTCTATCCGCGCTGACTGCGCCCTCCCATCGGGCGCTGCGTTCATGCTGGGCTGTGGCACTCAAGGGAGGGCAAGCTTTGTTGGACAAAGCCGGCGTTGTCTTGTGGGACGCTCTCCAGACAGATTTTCGATTTGTCCCAAAGTGGTCCTGACCTTGACTGGTACAAGGGTGGTAATACAAGGGCACTGGCTCCACCCATGGGGTTAAGGCGCCCCGAAGCCGTAGCAGTTCAAGTCCTCCTCCTCCTCCTTCTCCTCCTCCTCATCCTCATCCTCCTCCTCCTCCTCCTCCCCCTCCTCCTCCTCCTTCTCCTCCTCCTCCTCCTCCTCCACTTCCTCCTCCTCCTCGTCCTCCTCCTCCTCCTCCTCCTCCTCCTCCTCCTCCTCCTCCTCCTCCTCCTCTCCTTCTAAATAATTTCTCTCTGTCTCACCCTGAGGCCGGTCGCACGGGCGGGCTGGGCTTTTCGCTCGGGATTTCTTCACCATTTACGACCTGAAGCTGAAACGTTGGCAAGTGTTTCACAGATTGAGGGCGGGTCGTTTTCAAAATTTGGTTCCCGCTTTAACGCCGCACGCATTCGTTGTACGCTTGAATAGCTTCACGGATTGAGGGCGGGGCGTTTTCAACATGTGTGTTTGGTTTTGGCGCCGCGCACATTCGTTCAAAGATTTGCAAGAGTTTCACGGGTTGGTGCCGGCTCTTTTTCAAAATGCGGTTTTCGCTTTAGCGGCGCGCGCATTCGCCTTTAAAAAAACCCAGGAAATTCACGAATTGAGGGCGGCTCGTTTTCAACATGTTGGTCTGGCCTTAGCGCCGCGCATATTCGTTGTTCGTTGACTTAAAACTTGCAAGAGGTTGACTGCCCATGGTCAATTTACCCACATTAACATGGCGAAGGAGTGCCAACATTTGTCCAGTGGGCGCATGCGAAACCATCTACTTGGGCCGTCGGTGGAATTCTTTATGGGGGCACGGAACGCGTGAGAGGTGTGCCGAACGCAGCCATTGGGCGGGCGCAAGTAGGTACCGAAAGTAGGTACGGTGGGCGCACGCGAACGCAGCCATTGGGGCCGTCGGTGGAGCTCCCCATGGGGCCGCGAAGCGTGTGATGGGTGTGCCAAAATGGGTGACGCATGCGGGCGGTGGCAGTGGTGCCTTGGAGCTCCCTTCGGGGCCACGAAGCGTGAAACGCGTGAGAGGTGGAACGGAATGGGCGTGGGTGGCGCATGCGGACGGTGGCACTTGGGCCTGCGTTGGAGCTCCCTTTGGGGCCACGAAGCGTGAGAGGTGTGACGAAATTGGTGTGGGTGACGCATGCGGGCGGTGGCACCGGGGCCTTCGGTGCAGCTCCCCATGGGCCACGGAACGTGTGAGCGGTGTGCCGAAATGGGTGTGGGTGACGCAAGCGGGTGGTAGCACCGTGGCCTTCGGTGGAGCTCCCTAAGGGGCCACGAAGCGTGTGAGTGTTTTGACGAGATAGGCGTGGGTGACGCATGCGGGTGGTGGCACTTGGGCCTTCGGTGGGGCCACATTGGGGCCACGAAGCGTGTGAGTAGTGTGCCGAAATGGGTGTGGGTAACGTACGCGGGCGGTGGCACCGGGGCCTTCGGTGGAGCTTCGTATGGGGCCACGAGACATGTGATTGGTGTGACAAAATGTGTGTGGGTGACGCATGCGGGCGGTGGCAGTGGTGCATACGGTGAGGCTCCCTACGGGGCCACGAAGCGCTGTGTTGGGTGGTGGTTGACGCATGCGGGCGGTCCCACTGGGGCTTTCGGTGGAGCTTCCCATGGGGCCACGAAGCGCTGTGGTGGCTCGTGGTTGACGCATGCGGGCGGTCCCACTGGAGCTTTCGGTCGAGCTTCCGATGGGGCCACGAAGCGCTGTACTGGGTGGGTGAAACACAGGTATGAAGGGCTGTGCTGTGTGGCGCATTGGGGCGGTCCCACTGGGACCTTCGGTGGGGCTCCCCATGGGGCCACGAAGCGCTGTACTGGGTGGGTGAAACGCAGGGAGGAAGGGCTGTGCTGGGTGGTGGTTGACGCATGCGGGCGGTGGCACTGGGTCCTTCGGTGGAGCTCCCCATGGGGCCACGAAGCGCTGTACTGGGTGGGTGAAACGCAGGGAGGAAGGACTGTGCTGGGTGGTGGTTGACGCATGCGGGTGGTCCCAGTGGGACCTTCGGTGGAGCCCCCCATGGGCCACGAAGCGCTGTACTGGGTGGGCGAAACGCAGGGAGGAAGGGTTGTGTTGGGTGGTGGTTGGCGCAGGGGGGGGGTCCCACTGAGGCCTTCGGTGGAGCTCCCCAGGGGGTGGGGCCACGAACCGCTGTATGGGTGGTGGTTGACGCATGCGGGCGGTCCCACTGGGACCTTCGGTCGACTTTTCCATGGGGCAACGAAGCGTTGTATTGGGTAAGTGAAACGCAGGGAGGAGGGAGGAAGGAGGCGGTAGGAAGCGCGGGGACCGTCTCTGCAAAACGAGGACCCAACACCACAGGATGGTTGGGAACAATCTGTGTTGGAAAGGCTCCGCATTATGAGGGTGCAACAGCTAAGTTGATTCGTGGTGTTGCAATCCCAGGATGGCGCTCTCGCACGATTCAAGATCGTCAAGATGCTACAGTCAGGTGGATCCGTGGCGTTGGAGTCCCGATAATAATTATCTGGCATGCTTCAGGGTCTTCCACCGGTTGTCTTCGGATGGGGCAGTTCCCTCAGTGGAAATGAACCCTTGTAGGGGCCTATGAAGAGGGAGCTTGGAGGGAGGGTTTATGCCAACATCTTTGATGACTCGTGGGTCTACACTGGTGCGGGGTCATGCCAGTCACATTCGCTTTCCTTTGTTGCTCTCCATCCGTTGACCCTCAGATCGAGAGTCAATGTATTTATTCTGGGTGAGAGGGAAAAGGCGGGATGAGTGCGGGAGGGGAGAGGCGGACAAGGATGGCGATAGATGGAGGAGGAGTGACGGAGAGAGGGAAGCGGCGGGGGATGCGGAGAGGGTGGGTGATGGAGGCGGAAGGAGAGGGGGGCGTCCGCAGCAGCCCGGTTCGAGAGCAACGATTCGCCAGTCCATCACGACCCGCTTCGCACGCCTTCGCGAGCGGCGCTGCGGCTGTCCTACTCGGCCTCCGCGCATGCAGCATGTCCGCGCGCGAGGGTGGCGCGCTGGCTGCGCAGGAGGCCGCGCTGAAGGACTTCGCAAAGCAGGCGGTGGACAACGGGGAGTACGGCTTGGTTGTGAAGCTCGCTGCGCGGCTCCAGCAGCTGGAGCGTCTGCAGCAGGTCGAGGCGATTGGCGCGTCGCTGAGAGCCGCCGAGGAGCGCGTGAGCGCACACATCGCCAGCATGGACGCAGCCCGGACCGAGCTTCGCCGCGTGGTGGCTGCACTGGCCGACGCCAGGGCGCAGGTGCCGCACGCGCCGCCGGAGAGCGCGGAGGTCCCCGCGCCAGAGCCCGACGAGGCCGGGGGGCGGCAGCTGCCGCACATTCCAGAACTGGAGGAGGTGAATGTAACGGAGAGGAAGCAAGAGCTGTGGGAGAAGTTCGGCGGCCTTGAGCTCGACCCCGTGCTCCGCAGCGGAGCCGTGGTGCTGGTGGACGCAGAGTGGGTGATGGAGCTAGCGGGCTCCGGCGGAACCCTCGGGCCGCGCCAGGCCTTGCCGCCGAATGCGTTCATGGCCCACAGCAGGATCAAGGCCGCCACGGCTGACACTGGTGAGGGCCAAGTGCCGCTGCTGCATGCCGCTTGTATTTCGCATTGCTGGTTGCAGGCGAATCACCCGGACCCACGCGGGCATAATCTGCGTATCTTAGGTCGGGCATTGCAGCTGCTTTCCGTCGATCCCTTCCCTAATTTTACGGGCAGTTGGGCAGTATTTATGGATCTCTGTTGCATCCACCAAAATTGCAGAGACCGCGCAGGGGTCCCTCAGTGGCATACGTATCAACGTCTCGAAGGCTCCGACTCCTTTGAGGACGATGCGATCGGCCGATTCGCGTGTGAGAACGATTTGTTCCAAGAGGCATTGGGCAGCCTGGGGAACTTCTACTCCCACCATGCCACAATCGTGCTTATGCTGACACGATTTCCGGACGATTACAATGACCCTGCACTGTATACCCGATCTGGCAATCTTGCGCAATATTTTGATCGCGGCTGGTGTTTTTGCGAGTCTTCTTGGGCCGTGCTTACGAAGAATTTTGCCTGCTTAGTGGATCTCGGGCTTCTCACGGGAGACGAGACGTGCTATTTTGGGGGACTGGGTACTGCCAACTTCCAAGGCTCGCTGGTGAAGACGTGTGCCGCAGGGCGGAAGGCGCCCGTCCTGCCCGACGCGTTCGACGCGATGCTCCAGACCAAGGGCTTCACGAACGGCAAGGTCGATGGCCCAAGGGTCGCCGAGCTGTACCGCGCAGCTTTCGCTCAACGCTTCGAGTCTGCAGATGCCCTGGTGTATGAATCACTCGGCTTTGGGGACGAGAAGGTCGAGCAGTTGGCCACCGTGCTCACCTCTGGCGCCGCGCCGCGGCTGCGGGTGCTCCACATGGCCGACAACCTCGTGGGGGACGAGGGCGCGGCGCGCCTGGCCGCGGCTCTCGGCGCGCTGCCGGAGCTGCGGGTGCTCGGCCTCGCCAGAAACCGCGTGGGGGACGAGGGCGCGGCGCGTCTGGCCGCGGCCCTCGGCGCGCTGCCGGGGCTGCAGGTGCTCGGCCTCGGCGGCAACCGCGTGGGGGACGAGGGCGCGGCGCGTTTGGCCGCGGCACTCCGGGCCCCTGAGGCCTTGCTTTGATCGTCGGGTGGCTGTAAGTGCGGTAAGAGCGTTCATCTTACATAATCTTAGTTAAGCCATAGAACGTACACTTGTTGATCGCGCATCTCATGTGTGCATATGCAATACTTATGGTGTTTGTAAGTGTAGATGTAAGTAATATACTAAGTTAGATATCTCTGCTAAGTCGATGGGGCTGAACATATTCGTGTTTTTGCTAATCATTTGCGTATTTTTTATTCTTAACTTTTTTGAAATCCATTGAATTTCCGTTGTTGTTGTTGTTCAGTTGTTCAGGACCGAGGCGCCGCAGGTACTTGCTGTACCTCGCGGCCGCGGCGCTGCGGGCTGCGCGCATGCCCGCGGGGAGGGGGGAGGGAAGGAGGAAAATGTTTATCCATGTGTCTTCGGCCCTCCCTTATCCCCCCTTTCCTTAGGCGGCGCACCGCCTTCTCCTCCGTCGCCTCGTCCTCCGTCGGCGGTAATCCGCCTTCTCCCCCCCCCATGGCGGCAATCCGCCTTCTCCCCCTCCGTGGCGGCAAACCGCCCTTCTGGCGGCAAACCGCTTTCTCCTCCTTTGGCGGCAAACCGCCTACCCCTTCTGGCGGCAAACCGCCTTCTCCTCCTCTGGCGGCAAACCGCCTACCCCTTCTGGGGGCAAACCGCCTACTCCTCCTCTGGCGGCAAACCGCCTTCTCCTCCTCGTGGCGGGAAACCGCTTCTTCCCAACCGCCCGATCGGCGGCTTGCTTTGCCGCCTCCTTCCACCCCCTCGGCGGCAAGCCGCCCACCCCTTTCCCCCCTCCCCTCCCTGGCCTCTCCTTGACCCACCCTCCCCCATAGCTCTCTTCTTCCCCCCCGCGCACCCTTCGGCACCCCCTCCCCCGCCCCCCCTTCGACACCCTCTCCCCCCTGCGCCCCCCCTCACCCAGGAGGAGGAGGAGGAGGAGGGAGAGGAGGAAGAGGAGAAGGAGGAGGAGGAGGAGGGGGAGGAGGGGGAGGAGGGGGAGGAGGAGGAGGAGGAGGAGGAGGGGGAGGAGGAGGAGGAGCAGGAAGAGCAGGAGTAGGATATGTCCGTCGCACGCGCGTTGGCTCGATCCGTTTTTGGCGAGCCCTCCTCCGAGGGCTTCGGGCGGCGTGCGCGCGCGGGGAGTCGCGCACTCCGCTCGGCGCGCGGTCGCGCCGCATCGCTGCCATGGAGGGCATCCTTCGAGGCCGCCTGGAGGAGGCGCGGGCGGCGTTCGTAGCGCGCGGCAGTGCGACGGAGCACCTTCCTGCCTGCATCCAGGCGGCGACGTCCCAGCGCTGGTCGCAGCTCCAGAGTGCGCAGTTTGCTGCTTTGGGCGGCGGCGTGGGGTGGGCGCAGTCCGAGCTGGGAGACTTCTTGCAGGCTCTGTCGTCGGGCAGCCTGCAGGGGAGGAAGCTCCAGAACTACGAGGGGTTCATTGAATTTCTGACGCCTCAGTTGTGGGAGTTCGTGCTCTCGCCGCATTCGGGCTTCACTGCCAAGATGGCGGCGTTCTCAGAGCACCTCGGGGCGCTTGGCCTGAGGCATCCGAGCTGCCCGACGGCCGCCAATATGGCAGCATTCTTGTTGCTGGTGTGCAAGCAGACAGGCGTGGAGACGGGCGAGATCACGAGGGAGCTGTTGCAGTCATATCTGGCCACAGTGAAATCCTCGTTCAAGAATCTCGTGGCGACGATGCCGCCGCCCAGGGATGGCATCCAGGCTCTCCCCATCACGCCTGGGAGGCTCCAGTCTCAGTACCCCATCACGTACGTCGACGCCTTCCCGCCAGGTGTTGGAGCGACGGCGCCGCAGATAAATCCCGTCGAGATGGTGACGATTGCGAAGCTGATTAATCTCCGTGCAGGGAAGAAGAGCGGCCACCTCGCGCTGCCCGCGCCTGCGCCCGCCCGCGGCGGGCTGCAGCCATCCCACGGCCCAGGCGGCGGCTCTCCTCAGCAGCACCTCCCCATCGCGGCGGCCGATTCGTTCTCTGGGCGCTGGCCGACGGCTCCACGGGGAATAACAGAACGCATTCCCCCGCGGGACACCTGGTATTGGGTCGAGGGGTGGGTTCCTGGATCGGCGCGGGGTACGTTTCTGGATGCCTGGATGGAGGGCGTGTTGTGAAATATTCCCCCCCCCCATCCCCCTAGGGGGATGGGGGGGGGGGGGGAATATTTTCGTTCGGCGGTGATCCGCCTGATTTCAGGTGGGGCTTTCGCGCAGCGGCGGCCGCTGGCCCAACCCAGCCATCCAGCTGATCGACCGCTCGCAGACGCAGCAGCCGCAGGAGCCGTTGCAAGAACGAGCAGGTTCGAACCACCAGCTTTCGATGGCGGCGGGGAGTTCGGATGCGCCGTCGACGCAGCAACTGGCGGCACACGATGGCGGCAAACCCGCCGACTGTCAGCCGTTATCGAGCACCGCCGCCGCCCAAACGGCCTCGATCAGCAAGAGCCGCGCGGCGAAGAAGCAGAAGAAGCATGAGCTGCCGATCGAGCTCGACTCCGACTCCGACTTCGGCATCGTCGCCGTGACGCCGCCGCCCAAGGCTGAGAAGGTCGGCATCGCCGCAGGCTCTCTGAAGAAGACCCCGACGGAGGCGGCTCTGGCCATGGTCGCGGCCATGGATAAGAGGACGAAGGCGGTCAAGACGAAAAAGAACGCCGAGGCGGTGAAGGCCCCCACGCTTGCCACGGGCAATGCTGCTAAGAAGACGACGCCGCCTGGCAATGACAACGCGGCAAAGAAGACGACGCCGCCTGCCACGGGCAACGTGGCTAAGAAGACGCCGCTCCCCACGGGCAAGAAGACGGACGGCGCGGCTGGGAAGGACAAGCAGCGCAAGTGGGCGAAGCCGAGGTGGGAGATGCAGACCACACGCAACTTGGCGAGCGGGGTTGAACCTCCCACCGATGAGGCGTCGGGCGCGCGCGGCGATTCCCAGCAGCCCCGCTGAGGTCGCAGTTTGCGCGCCCGCCGCCTTTCAGGCGACTGTTCATCGTTGCTCCGCCCCCCAGGTGCAGTTCCGCCGCGGCAGGGTCGGCGCCCCTGGCAGCAACGTCAGCCTGAAGTACATCGCGGGCGATGAGGCCGGCAAGGCCAGATTCTCACCGACGCCCTTCTCGACGCCCTCCTCCGCGCTCTCTTCATTTTCGCCCCTGCCTCGACGCCCCCTCCGCCCCCTGCTGCCTCGTTGCGCCCGATCGCTCCGAGGCCAGGGCCATCGCGGAGGCGGAGGAGCTGGTCAAGAAGGAGCTCGCCGCCAGGGCGCGCGGCGAGTATTTCGCGCTACGACTCTTCAACTCTCCAGGCCAACGGGGCGGCCTCGGGATAACAAAAAGGTCGTGGCGGATATGCCGCCTCGTGGCGGATATGCCGCCTTGTAGCGCAGCCTTCTCGCCTTCCAACTCGTGGCGGACATGCCGCCCCCGCCCCACCCCTTTGCGCTCCTCCGCCCTTCAGGCGGACATGCCGCCGCCCCCCTCCCCTAATCGGCCCACTCCGCGCCCCCGCGCCACGTCCCTGCGCCCCCCTCTCCGCTGTCAGGCACTGGATCCCACGCCAACTAACGTCGGGGAGACGCCCACTGCTCGAACGGCGAAGGCGTTCACCCAGAATGGCATGGGCGCGCGCGAAGGCACCGACGTTGCCACCGCCCGTTCAACGACGAAAACAAGTGAACCAAGACCTGCACATTCAAAGGGACACCAGTTCACTTATATTTCTGGTTCCCAATGCCACCCTCACTCTGCCCCCTCCCCCGAGACCCCGTCGCAAGAACCAGCGGGGCCCTTCTGAGAGGCCCCCGAGGGCTCGAGGAGCTCCAAGACTTCAATGGGTCCATGGGCAACCCCCTCCCCCTCCTCCCGAAGTCTCGCTTCCGCGTCCGATTCCATTTCGGTTCAAGCCCGCGGCCCGCGGGTGCCCGCGAGCCCGCGCGGGGTTGGCCCCCCCCTTTCGCGCCGACGCGTGGGCTGGGGCCCGCGCGCCGAGGCTGCGCCGCAGCCACCGCGTCGCGCTCGGCGCCTCGCACTGCGGCCGCGGCCATGGCAGACAGCGGCAGCGCGTTCGACGCGTTGGAGGCAGCTGCATCGCCAAAACAAGTGGCCCCGCGTGCGGTAGCCAGGGACGCGCGCATCGCGCGCGAAACTGGCTGGCCGCTCTCGGTCGAACTGTTTTGGCGATTCGGCGCAGGAGATGTTCGGGCCAGCGATGCAGTTGCTCTCCGACCTTGCGGGCGTGGACAACAACGCAGGGGATCGGTCTTCCTCCGCCAGCGGCAGTCGGCCAGCCAGCGCGCCCACGTTGGCGGCGCAGCCAGCGCGATCGCGCAGCCCGCGCCACCCGCGGGCACCGTCGACGCCGCCGCGCAGGCGGGGGCCGACGTCACCGCCGCGGGACCCGCGGCAGCGGCCTTTCCCGCCCTCGGCTCTCGTGAAGGAGCTCGCGTCGCACATGCGGGGCGCGACGCCTGTGGTGGAAGAGCCCCCCGAGGCGGTGGAGGCGCATCCCAGCGCGGTGGAGGCGTTCAGGGCGCAGCTGCGAGCCTGGCTGAGCGACCCCGTTGGGAATCCCATCGACTGGCGGTCGGAGACCGTGCTCGCCGTGCTCAAGGAGTACCAGATGAAGTACGACTACAAGAAGTTCCGCGACCGCGGCCCGCCTGGCCCCGCCATGGGCGGGCCGCAGACGTGGCAGGGCCAGGCGTGGCGCGCCAATGCGAAGCGCTGGGGGAACCGAGGTGGCGCAAAGCGCGAGATGTACGCGAAGCTGCACGGCAACAAGGCAGCGCCGCGGGTGCGCGAGGCGCACGTCCCCAAGCCTCAGCTGATGCATCGGGAGCCCATGGCGCCGAACTTGCCCAAGACGATGCCTCAGCAGGCGCCGTGGAGGACTGGCAATATGAACCCTCCAGTTCCGCCTCCGCCGCCGAAGACCATGGGGCCGCCGCCGCCGAAGACCAGGCAGCCGCCAGCAGGGAAGCCCAGCATGGTGCAGC